TAACATCATTTGACACTAAGGAAGGGGTTAAAATAATGTGAAATATTGATTTCCTCCCCTCTTTTTTTGGTACTGGGGATTGAACCCGGGGAATTCTACTACTGAGCTGCATCCCCAGCCTTTTTTTTTTTTTCCATTTTGTGATAGGGTCTCACAAAATTGTCAAGGCTGGCCTCAAACCTGCAATCCTCCTGCCTTGTCTCCCATGTCATTGAGATTACAGGTGTGCTACACCGTGCCCAGCTGTTTTCATCCAATTTACTGATATGTACCTCTGAAAATCCTAGGTATTTCTGGAGTGATGAATGCTAATGAAGGGGCTGGTTGCCAACCCTATGAACAAAAATTTGGAAATTTCAGTCCCACCTCTACCCTTGACTTTTCAGGAGGGGAGAGAAGCTGAAAATCTAATTGATAAAATTAATGGCCAATGATTTTAGTCAGTCATGCTTACATAATAAAGCTTCCATAAATACCGAAAAGGATCGAGTTCTGAGGGCAAAACAACAAAGGGGCAGCACAGCCAAATCATGATAGGACAGTAGAACAGCTTTGCTGGAGAAAAGCAGCAGCACTCACGCTGGGAAGTGAGAAAAGTTCACAATGAAGAGACACAAAGAGTGGTCAGAGCCAGCATGCATCTCAGCCCTTAGAAACTTCAGTTACTCTGGACATAGTTTCATCCCCAGCTTTAGAGGATGTAGGAGTCCCTCATTTGTTTAGGGGAAATAAAAAACAAAAACAAAACACAAGTTCAAGAAATGATAGTTCAAACATATCCTTTGCTAGTCATGGTGGTGCACACCTGTATTCCCAGTAACTTGGGAGGCTGAGATGCTGGGAGCCATTAGCCAAGTAGGTATGACAATTTCCTTGCCAGCGTACCCCATGTTGCTGACATGTTGCAGTGACATTGAATGTAGGTGACCTTGCTCAAGGACCAAGGCAGATTAGGGTGTTCCCGGTTTTAAGATAATCGTGTTTAGGGCGTTCCCAGTTTAGGTTCCAGGTTTAAGATTATTCCTGCTGGGAATAGGGCGTATCCTGCTGCCTGAGTTCCCCTTGAGTTCTCACGGGATTCAGACAGTATATTTTGGAGATAGAAGCCCAGTGGAGGTGGATTTGGGCAGAGAACGTGGATTTCCCCAGAACGTGATTGTAGACGGCTGGTGTGAGTTCGGGAATAAAGAGTTGCTGTTTGAATCTACAAGCTGTGTGGTGGCTCGTGATTGTGTGCCCAGCCAGACTGCGGCATTTGTGCCCAGCCAGACTGTGGCACTGAGACAGGATAGCTAGTTCAAGGTTAGCCTTAGCAAACCCTGTTTCAAAGTAAAAAATAAAAAGGATCAGGTGTAGTGGCTCTTGCCTGTAATCCCAGTGACTCAGAAGGCTGAGACAGAAGTATCACAAGTTCAAGGCCAGCCTCAAGCAACTTAGCAAGGCCCCAAAGAAACTTAGCAAGACTCCATCTCAAAATAAAATATAGAAAGGGTTGGGGATGTGATTCAGTGGTTAAGCATCCCTGGGTTCAATTTCTGGTATCATAAATAAAAATAAAAAATAAAAAGGGCTGGAAATGTATCTCAGTGGCAAATCATCCCTGGGCTCAATCCCCAACACTACAAGAAGAAACAAACAAA